TCGACTCGAAGTTAGTTGTTGTAAACTTGAAGTAGAAGTCATTCAAAGAGTGTTAGCGTAGTGGCGTAAGATTTTAAAAATGTCAGACGACAGCTTCCCAAGGGTGGCGTATAATAAGTTAGTGGAGTTAGATGCTTTGCCAAACAAAGATCGTAGGTACGATTGAGTTTCAAACTTGAAAGATATATTAGTAAAATATGGTTTAGAATATTTGTGGAAGGAGAAAAATGAAGCGAAAATTATGGTAGTCATGCCGGTTATTAACGGAGCTATGAGGAGACTTCTATGGCAGGAAGATACAGACAAAGCCCAGAACTCCTCGTATAGTATAAAATATAAATCATTAAAAGAACTAGGAATCATGAACTGCGAGGAATATCTATTATTCAACATCTCAATAAATTAATAAAATTAATTGCACAACTAAGGCTCTCAGGAAAAGAAGAGGTCACGACGGTCTACAGAAATAATATAATTTTGCTTTATTTAATCAAAAGTTATTGGTAAAATGTAAGATTTAAAAATGTATTTTATTTATCTTTTGTGTTATTTAATAAGCGTATGGTAATTTCTTATGTCAGTACTATGAGCTCTTATGATCATTTTCAAGGTAATAATACTCGTTTTTCTAAGCCTTGTTGTTTGAGAATTTAATTTGTTTCATAAAACGTTCTACTTTTGAAGTTTTCGTGTAAATCAGTAAAAGGAACAGAGCTAGTCCAGATTTTCTTTCACATGACCACCATGGTACAGAATTAGTTTTTGGCTTAGCATTTATTTTTGGATAACTACATCCATAATNCCTTACCCCCATCTAACCCCCATAACATTTTATGGGGGTGAGACCGCCACGAACTTGTTATGGTACAATGGTGGAGGAGACCTCCTCTTTCGATCCCACCCACCCTCACCTCCTTCGGGGGTGGGGGCCATCATCTAGACATTTACTGCAATTAATTATTTGATTACTAAATGGCAAATTATTAGTTACTGGATTTCTATTATTTTAAGATTTACTTGTTATTCCAATTGGAGTGTAATTATAAGTGGTTTACTGTAATATTTTCGCAGCAAATATAGATTTTGCAAAATTAACTGATACCTTACTACATTGTTTTTATTAATAACACTGTAACACGCCTTATAGTAGATGGGAGGGTATTCTATTGTATCTTTTTAATCGTTTTCATTAGTGGACAATGTAGTTCTATCACGAATCTATTCACGAAAAAAGATGTGGTTTTTAATTCTTAAATTGTACTTACATTTTTTGTTTTCTGTTACGTTGTAACAATAGGTGCGTCTTCCCACGCTTGTTCGTGAATCATACTACAAATAAGTAATTAAGTAACCGAAATTAATTCGCCATTACAGCTTATTGTACAATATTAATGGCAGAAAATTGTCGCTCAGCGGGATCTTTAAGACAAAAGCATCAAGATAAACGCAACTCCATCAAAGTTGTTCCAAGGTCAGATAAAAATCATAAAATATTCCTTAACTTAAAGGTGAATTAAGAAATAAATTTGTGCTATTTCTTTACGTATATATCAACTGTTCACCAAATTACTGAACACTTGAAATTTTAAAATGAGAACTTTTAGAAAAATAAACGCATTATGAAAAATATATAACTATTTTAACGAAATAAAAAGAAAATAGATTGAGTTTTACCAAACTGAATATGCGATGCAGCTATGTATGTGATAGGTACGTAAACTGTGGCGTGCTGTTGAGAACTAATAAGTTTTGAATTGCGACTCATGTCTGATAGATCTGATATATTCTTCATCATCATAAGGTCGTCAGTCCTAAGACTGGTGGGACACGCACCTCCACTCTTTCCTATCCTGAGATAATTTTCGCATTTCCCTAAAACTAGAACATCCCACATCCTTAACTATTTGCGAACAGTAATCTAATCTAGGTCCACCTCTACCCCTCCTAACTCCTGTATCCTGTTGGAACTGATTAGGCACGAAGTGCTGACGAAATTCAAAGCGCGATCCACGTTTGACAGTTTCCACAGAAATTTTTTGTTCAAAAACCTACTACTTTGTATTTTATTACTTCCCTACATTAAAGTAAGTATTGTTACGTATAAGCATGTGCGTTATAATAATCAATATATTGATTCCCAACGGTTCTTGAGTATGCCCGCAAGAAGGAATCGATCGGTAGGTGACAGCCTTTGTATTGAAGACGCGCTCGGTAATAAAAAAAATCATACCTTGAGTGACATATATCTACCGCTTAACAATAGGAGTTCGAGAATTATCGAGAAGAATTTGATAATAATACATATAAGTAGGTACACTTCTAGATTACACGGGGAATTAATTAGTATATGGACAGCTGATCAGTAATATGAATAAACAGTGCGAATTACGAGCGAATGCAGATTAATATACTAAACACAGGGACCAAGTACAGAAGCATTATAAATACCGTGTGATATAAATAAAAAATATTGTAAGTGTCTAGTAAATAAATAACTGTGATATAAATCCCTTAAATAGTAAATAAAAGTAATAGTAGTACCTAAATTCCTTACAGTATATTGGAAATACTCCTGGTACATTTGCTAGACACTTGAAGGGATATTTTTAGAAATGTGAAGCAAAAGAAATTCAATACCTGGGCTTTCTAAATAAAAAAAGTATATTTATTAAATTGGAAACATTCCACTAATGATCCGCTACGTATTGCTAAAGAATAATATTTATGTTTACGTTTTCCAATTGCGAAATTACGCTATTGGTTACTTTTAAAGTATAAAAGTATAGGAATTTTTGCTATCACTACGAAGGCATGCAGTTATAAACATACGCTAACCATGATAAATGTGTAAATAGTGTTCGGGAAATGTTTTCTGAGTAAGATTTCTCAACAGTTTTCTTGAAACTGTTAATTATACATATAGACATTATTTATGTGAACATTTGTGCATATTAATATACTTTAAATGTCACTATTCAATATTATTGATGTTTATATTAAACATAAACAAAACACAAATAGTTTTCATAAAAGCTTTATAACATTTTATTTTTTGTGGAATTCTGAAAAGGGAATATTGTTTATTAATGAAGATTTAGAAAAATTGAAGCTACATTTTGATTTTACCTTCATCTGAAGAAGCTACTCTAATATGAGATACTTAATTATTTCGATGTGGATATAAAGTACGTATGTACTTGAAGTAAGCAGTTAAGATTTTTGAAATTATTTTGTGCAAAATTTTGTTATTTTATTTTTTCCGTGTATGTTGTACATATTTGTATATTTTTGCAATTCTTTAAACATGTTCTATATAATTTTTGTTGTGCAGTAGGGT